AGAAGTGGTTTGTGGGCTGGAACTGCCAAATTTGTGACTGGATAAAGAGGACCTGTCTTTCGAGGGCCTTGCAAAATGTGGTCTGCAGACAGCTGGCAGCAAAATCTCGGGCCCCAGCCCAGGCCTATGGAACCAGTTCACAATAGCTTCATGGGAGTCAAGTGGACACTGAATGATCTAGGGTCTAAGCTAGACGTCCTAGATATGGTGCTATAGGATATGCACGGGACTGCTATAGCACTATGCATTATGGTAACGAACAGTCACATGTGATTATGAGGAATTCTAATCTAAATTATTTTAAATTAAATACATTTTAAGATTCAACTCCTCAGAGGCACTAGCTACATTTCAAATTCTCAGTGGCTACCCTACTAACAGTACAGATATGAACACCTCCATTGTCACAGAAAGTTCTCTCAACTCTGGACCCAAAGCTGTTTATCAACTCCACTTTACTACTGTACCCTCTACCAGGTTTTTGAATCATAGGTTTTGAAAAGCTGATACTTGATTATAAACCAACCTGGAGTTTATTTCTGCTATGGAAGGGGGTGATTAATTAGCTATCTTCAGCCCCCATTATGAAAAGTAAACACAAAAATCAAAACTGATGCTTTTCCAGTACCAGTAGCTCTGTACTAAGCTTGCAAGTCTAAAACAGTTTCCAAAAGTAATTGAAAGAAAACACCAATGGCAAAATTAGTTGTTAAAGAAATAAGATGTTTGGCTTTCCCACTGACTCAAAAAGAGCTTTAAAAGATTCTTTATTGGAACACAAACTACAATACTGAAGCTGACACCCTCACTGTGAGCAATGATTCTCAAACTTCAATGGCCACTGAATAACTGGAGACATTTGTTACATGACAGATGGCTGGGGCTCAACCCAGTTTCAGACTCACGTGAGGCCTAAGAGTTTGCATTTCTAACCCATTCCCAAATGATGCTGATGATGCTGGTCCAGGGACAGCACTTTGAGAACCACTGACCCAGGCAGGGTAGGACAAATAATGGGAAGGCCCTTGTAACTTGAAACTTGACAAACATACAAGAGTGCAGGAGCTCCTGCAAAGAAGGCAGGCTGAAATCAAATGAGCCAGAACTGAGAACTTTCAGCCTCTCTTCTCCTTAACAAGACATACCAGGACATTCGAAACAGAGCAGGCTATGGAGAGAATGCCAAGCAAGAAATGGTCTTTGAATCTTAATGTACAATGTAGCAATTAGCTTTACCTCATGTCTCAATGACATTAAGTCTGTTACTATTAGATACCATCAAGTCAGTTCTGACTTATAGCAACCCTCTGTAAAAAAGGACTAAATACTGCCAGTCCTGCGTCATCCTCACAATCTTTGATCTGTTTGAACCCATTGTTGTAGCCACTGTGCAAATCCATCTCTTTGAGGGGCTTCCTGTTTTTCACTTACATTTATCACTTATCAGCTCCACAAACCTCTGAAAACCAGTCTCTACAAACTCCCCTACTCCTAATTTTTAAAGCTTCTAAAGACTGCTCAATTGCCCAGATCACCAGGGTCTTAGATCTCCACTTACTGACCCTTCGATAGTCTTCACGTTTTCAGCACTCTGTCTGCCTCTGAATTCTCATCTACCATGGACTCATGGTTCGCCTTTTGATCTAATTAGACTCTCAATTTCCTTTATGGGAGACTCTTTTGTTCCTTCTCAGAGAAAAACATGATTAAGACCAAAGTTCTTAAACAAGTCATGGGCCCTTTCCTGAATTCTACATTAAAGAAGAATGAGTAGAATCTGCAAGTGTCCTTTGTTTATCGTGATTAGCTCTACTGATACATAAACGACTTTCTACAGATGAGGGCGAGTTTTTGTTACTTTATAACCTAAATAAGGCAAAAGAAAGATGTAACTGGATTTCAACATCAGCCCACAATTTATGCCCCCTGATAGTAAAAAGGTAACAGACCCCCTCTTTCTGCTAGAAAGGTCATTCAGTAGACAAAGGGCTGGAGGTGGCATAGATTTTATTTAGAAAATGTTTAGAATTGACAGGAATCAGCAAAGGTTTTGATCTAGAAATTGCTTAGAATGAAAAGCCCATGTAGGGCAGTAGGTTAAGCACTGGGCTGCTAACAGAAAGGTCAGCAGTTTGAACCTAGCTGCTCCGTGGGAGAAATGTGGCAGTCTGCTTCCATAAAGATTTACAGCATGTGAGGCAACTCTACTCTGTCCTATAGAGTAACTCTGAGCTGGAATCTGCTCGTTACCAGTGGATTTTTTTTCAATAGGCACATGAAACCTTTTAACTGGTCTGTGTTCTCTTGGGTGTTCTAAAATCTCCCCCACATTGCAATCAAAATAATAAAAAATGACCTTGCTCAAATGAAAAGCCTCCCCCCCCCCAGCCGAATCTGGCAGAACCTTCTAGTCCCCTTAGCATCTCCTGTCACATTCTACTCACTGGCAAGTCCCCACTTTCTACCAAAGTGTTCTCTTTGAATAACTCTCAGAGTTCAACTATCATCTTTATGCGGATTGTTCCAAAAGTCTTAGCTGACAGCTCTAACTACGTGAGTAAGATCATTTTGTCTTCCAACCCTAAATTCTACAACTCCCTCTAATCTCTAATGCAACCCTTTGGCTCCAAACCAGCTCTCCTGCCTGTCAACCCTCATTCTGTCAGTGGTACTCACATTGTCTCACCTCATAACTTCACAGTCAACTTTGGCTCTTCCCTAACTCACCACATCCAATTAATAACAGTGCTCCACAGAACGTATGAAATACAAGGACAAATGTTTTTATATCTCTTTAGAGCTTTCAATGAACACATACACAAAGCAGGCACTGAAAAAGAAGTATGACTACAAAGTAACAAAGTGATTTTTAAACCACAAGTCTTGCATCTAGCCCCATCTCTCCAGACCAACAGTCTCTAACTCCATCTAAGCCTACAGTACTCTAGTTCAACAGCTTCTTGTTTGGTCTTCTCTTCCAATCCATGGTCTTTCCCTATTCCAACCCATCATCCATATACCAGTATCCTTCCTAAAAAGCAATTATCGCTTGTAGTATATATCCTTTAGTTGGTTGATGATGCATGGAGGGAATTGTAACCATGGCAATGAAACGATATACCATAGAATTAATGTAAAATTAATGTTCTCCCATGTAAACTATCAAATAATTCACAATAAAAAATTTTTTTTTAATTTTAAAGAAATTATCGTTACTGTACTCAAAAACCCTTGAAGTTGCCATACTATTCAACAGATAAAGTTCAAATGTCTTATATGACATTCACAATTCTGTATGCTTGGTCTGAATAACCTCTCCAACCTCATCTTACCAGTTCTGGCCATGTAGCTTTAAACTCTTTCATAAGATGCTCCCTTTGCCTGGAATGCTATCATTTTCTCCCTTCCTCTTCCCTACTCTCAATCTGAGTAACTTCTACCCTTACTTGCCTGTCTCCTCTGGGTACCCACTGAACAGTAAGACACTTCTCATACTGTATAATTATGCTCCATGTCAGAATATTCTACTAACGGTGAGCTCCTTATTATTCAACAGACCCAAGTCAACTACTCACTAAGATCATATAACAAATGTCTATTGAAGGAATGAGTTTACATTTCCAAAAAGATAAATCTCTCCATTTTTATTATTTTAGGAGGCTGCTCAAAAAATTTGCAGGGGGCTCCACTTTCATCTTTGGGAATCTTGTTGACTACTTAAAGAAAATCAGTCCCTTTACATTATACACGTGAAACATTTTCAACCAGAGACTGGAGAGCCAAGCTTGAACACTGCCATCCTCTCCTTACTCCCTTCATCATGTGCATTTGTTCCAAATAATCTGGCCTTTGAAGCAGGAAAAAAAAATTCAAAAATCCTCCCTTAAATAATGAAAATGTGCCATCCCTGATGGTATATAAAACCTGTCACAGGCTCTTAACACAATTTTAAATAGAACTGCAAAAAAAGTTTTGCCAGTAGTAGCACTGATGGAGTACGCTCAGGATCTCAAGTCATTTGATTGTGAAACGGTTAAAGTGTGTCTGTTTAGTTACACATTTTCTTTTGTTTTACCTCCAGGGAATGTTTCATTTTACTTTGCTGCTTATTAGGTTAGTTGAATGAAATCATTAAATAAAATTTTTAAAAGTGTCTGTTTCTCCAAAGTGTAAACAAGGGGCTGACTCTTCCCCACTGCCTCCATGAATGCCAAAATAATTGTGAATTCTAGAGTTAATGGCTCCTGAACCGATTTCCACCTATGTACAATCTGATTTACAGGTTCATTACAGTATCCATAAAGCAGAAACACCCTACCCAGAAGCAGCACTGCCTTTTTCCAAGGAAAGGGGTTCCAGCATTTAAAAAATTGAGGTCATAAACACAATGGGGCAGATCTCTCTAATTTACTTAATTCTGCTGTGCTTTGCCCCAATCTAGGTGATCAAAGAAAAAAGAAAAGGACACAGCCCTAGCTCTCAAGCTTTCAAAACCATTCCGATATCTTGTCAAAGCACCCTTCCCTTCCCTGGTGAAGCAATTTACATGTATGACCCCTTATTTACCCTCCCGAAATGATGTAAGGGACAGGGGGAAATAAATCATATCACCCTCATGGGATGAGAGAAAGGTTGATGTTCCCATCACTAGGCTGGGAAAAGAGGAAGTAGCGAGGGAAGGAGGTGGTCTTCACCTTTCCCTGCTCCTCCTGGCCAGCAACAGAGACAGGATTTCTGACATCCCAGTTCAAAGCCTACTTGTTCAGTGAAAGGGAAGAATCAAACTCCCGGCTTCATTCCGCAGAAATGAACACCAACCAAGACACCGCCCGGCCCTTTCCCCCAGGGAGCTGCAGGTGGAGATAAGGTAATGGAGGCCAGCGAAAACAGAGGAGAGCGCACGCTTGCACCCACCGCTTCCCCCTCCGTCCCTAGTCGCTGTCAAGGCAACCCGAGGCCGTAGGGCCGGGGACCCCCTACTCCCCGCCCACGATGGGTACCTTCGAGTACTCCTGGGCCAGCTTCTGGTACTTCCCCTGCAACTCTGCTGAGGCCATGGCCTCCCCCGCCCCGTCCAGGCCAGGCGGCCCAGGCCGCTCAGCCCCGCCCCCGGACCCCAGCCCCAGACACGCTCCCGGGTACGGCTCCACCAGCGTCCGCCAGCTCTGCCACAGCGACAGCCACCGCGCCTCCTCCTCCACTTCCGGGTTCGCCGGGTGGGAGGAAAGGGGAGTGGGCCGGGGCGGAGCGACTGCCGGGGGTGGGGCGACGTCTTGACTTAGCCACCCCGCCCTCTTACGCCCCAGCACGTGCGCGCGCAGTTTCACTGACTGCCTCGGCTCTGACTCTGAGGCCAGGGGGCGCCATCTTGGTGCGTGGTCCAAGATGGCGACATGGAACAGAGAAAGAATCGGAGGAGGAAGAAGGATGAGCAACCACGGAATGGGCGGGGGACGAAAGAGAGGGGCGGTGGTTGAGAGGAGCTAAGGACCGGAAGAAGAAACATTCTTAGCGCATCAAGAATTCTAGCTGCCGCCCCTACTGGTTCCTATGGCAACCGCTGGCGTTTGATGGTTACAGAACCTGGATGAAAAGACAGACCTGTATATTCCATTCCACTATCTCGTTATCCCGATAAGATGGCACAGGACATGCCTGCACTCTCAGACTTTCCCAAATTTGTACCCTCTCCTGCTTCTGACCTTGCAAATCTTTATATTGTTTTTTGTATTTTCTACCCACTCCTGCCCGCATTTGCAAACTACATCAGACAAGAGCCTTTTTCAGCAGATTGGGGGAAAAGAATGACACCGCCACGCGTGCAGAATAGACTGGACGTTACTGGCAAGTAGCTGGGAAGTTAAGTTAAAAAAATAAGATATTTTATGTCCCTTTTGCAAGAATTAAAAGTCCGATGATGCATGGACAGGATGATAACTATGGCAATGAAATGATGTATGATGGAATGAATGTAAAACTGATGTTCCCCTATGTAAACTATCATACAATACACAATAAAACATTTTAAAAAATAATAATTAAAAGTCCACCACTACTCATTAAAAAATATATCAAAGACATGTTAGGTATTGTTCTAGGGATTGCATTAATTGCAACTTTCAGATGTAATATTGGTAGAGGAATGAATAAATAAATTTAGGTATACGTTAACCAAAAATTATAGTATGGCAGCTAAATAATGAACTACATCTATATACATTCACCAACATGAGATGGCAAAACACCATGTTAAGTGTAAAAAATACAATGCAGCAAGCCGTCACCTCATCTGCATGTGAAAATTAGGTAATGAATAAGGAAGCGTGTAGAAGAAATGATACCTTTGAGTTATGGTATTAGAGAAGAATATTGAAAGTACCATGGACTGCCAGAAGAACAAACAAATCTGTATTGGAAGAAATACATCCAGAAGTTCCTTAGAAGCTAGGATGGCAGGACTTGTCTCTCATACCTGGGACATATTATTTGGAGGGACCAGTCCTTGGAGAAGGACAATATGCTTGCTAAAGTAAGTGTCAGCGAAGAAGAGGAAGACATCCAACAAGACAGATTGGCACAGTAGCTGCAGCAATGAGATCAAACATAACAAGTGTGAGGATACATAGGTTCTCTGAGTTACAACCAACTCAACAGCAACTAACAATACAGTATAAAAGGATCCTTGGTATGGCTCTGTAGGATAAGCCCTGGACTGCTAACCACAAGGTTTGCAGTTCAAATCCACCTGTGACTCCACAGAAGAAAGAATTATAGTCTAGGGTCTCTATGAGTTGGAAACCAGTTGATGACACTAGGTTTGGTTTTGGCTTCTTTATGATATAAAAATATACATTTGAAAATATGAAATAACATTTGTGTGGTTGATACACATATGAACTTGTATTTAATAAACAGAAAGTAGCTGGAAGGATACTCATAAAATTCTGGATATTGGTTGCCTCCAGTGAACAGGATGAAGAGAACAAAAAAGCATGAACTTTCTTTCATTTATTTTTTAAAGCAGATATGACAGGATGTTAACATTTACTAGTTCTAGGTAATAGACACAAAGTTGTTTGCTATCTTGTCAGTTTGAAATGCTTGAAATTGTTTCCATGATTTAAAAACCATTTGTACTATACTAGTTTCCTATTTGGCTATGAGCAAGTCTGAGTTTTTATGGTGAAACACTGAGCTTGGATGCATTTCCAGCCATTGTAATATCTTAAGAAGATTATAATCTTTTTAAAAAATTGTTTATATGTTTTATTTTGATAAGAGCCACGTCCTACTGTTTAAACTTTCAGAATGATTTTTAAATTATTATTGCTAGTTTCCCGTGGCACCACCAAGCGGTGGAATTAAATATTGTAAGTATGTGTCCGACTCATAAGATAAAGTTTCTCTTTATTTAACAACAAATCCTGCCATGCCAGAAGTAACATTTCAAAGAAAGAGCATGGAATTTTGGCCAGAAAGCCTGTGTAAATTTTAATTTTACTGAATTGAGAAATATATTTTCTATAAGCTACCATAATTGTTCAAGGAGCCCTGGCAGCATAGTGGGTACATGTTCAAATCCACCAGCCGCTCCGTGGGAGGAAGAGGCTTTCTGCTCCAGTAAAGATTCACAGCCTTTGAACCCTATACAGTGTCGCTATGAATCAGCATACGGCAGCAGCAGTACCCTAGTTGCTGTCTAACAATTTGTCTTAAAATCCCAATTGATAACACTAAGTACAGTAAAATTGGAGCCCCAGTGTGGCACTGTAGGTTAAGCACCAGACTGCCAACCACAAGGTCAGCAGTTCAATACTACCAACCGTTCTTCAGAAATCCTACACAGGGTCACTATGAACTAGAACCAACTCAAGAGTACTAAACAACAACAACATAGTAAAATTAAGAATGTTTTCCACACCACCCTCTGCCATCAAGTCAATTACAGTTTATATATTGACCCTACAGGGTCATAGCGCGGTAAGATAAGCACTTGACCTCAAGGTCCGCAACTCAAACTCATCAGCCGCTCCTTGGAAACTCTATACAGGGTCACCATGAGTCAGACCCAACTCAATAGCCCTTAACAGCAACAAAACAGGACAGAGTAGAGCTGTTCCAAAGGATGTCGAGGCTATACATAGTTACTGGAGCAGAAAGCCCCCATCATTCTCCTGCGGAGCAACTGGTGGATTTGAACCACCGACCTTATGGTCAGTAGGTCAATGCTTAACTGACTATGCCACCAGGGCTCCTCCAAAAGACATCATTAAGTGAGTGAAAAAATAAATCGCAGAATAGATTTACAACATATATATGATCAGCAGAAGTGTCATATCCAAGCACATATACAAGGGGGCTTCAAAAAGTTCATGGAAAAATGGAATAAAAAGATGTTCAGTTTAATCGATAGCCAGGAGAAAATGAAATTAGAATCCCATTGAGATGCCACTGCATACTCAGACAAATGACTCAAATAAAAGACTAACAAGTGTTGGTGAGGATATGAAAGCAAAGAAACTCAAAATGCTGGTAGAAGTATAAATTGGTCCAGTCATTCAGGAAAAGATATAGTTTAACAATTCTAGTCTTACAAACACAACCAACAAAAATGTGTGCACAGAAATATTCAACAGTAATATTCATAATCCTAAAGCAAACCAAGCCCACTGCCATCAAGTGGATTAGGACTCATAGTTATCCTATACAGCAGGGGGTGGGGGAGGGGGACATCTGGCTGCATGAAATCATTTGGTCTGACCCTGCCAAGACAACCCCAGTTCCAGTCATCCAAATATAGCAGGTTAATTTTTTTTTATATAAATGTTTTATTATGAATTATATGATAGTTTACATGGGAGAACAATAGTTTTACATTCATTCTATCGTATATCGTTTCACTGCCATGGTTACAATCCTCTCCATGCATCATCAACCAACCACAGGGTATACTCTGCAAGGCTGCTCCACAGTCGTCAGCACGCAGCCCCTCCACCTCTCTGGATCTAAAGTTCCCAGCCGCTCCATCTCTCCATGTCATTGTCTCTGCCTCCATCTCAGGGATCACTGCTTCTCTGGGTAGGGTCCCGCTCTCCGCTCTTCTTCCTTGATGATCCCAGGGACCTCCGCTCCTAG